CGGAAAAGACTGGCTCAGCAACAGATGCGTGGTTGTTGTTTAGGCCCTGTTTTGCTTTCCCTTCCTAACGCCCGCTGTTTGCTCGTGCTGTTTCGTCCTCCCTTGCGCGCTCTTCTTCTTCCTCCTCTTTTAGTCGCTGCCTCTGTAAATCTCTAAGATGATCCTCAGGGCCAACGATGCTTTTCCTCTGAACCTATCAGATTGCCAATTGATTTAATCTCGGCAGGGCCCACAAAGCGCAGGTCCTCCTGAAAAATCAGATCTCAATCCTATTACGCCACTTTCGACAACTGTAGCAGGATGAGGTGCTCACACCAAGAAGCTGGTCCTATAAGCCCAACAGCAACGGGTCAAGTCCTAAATCAAGTGAACGTACAATCATCATTGCTGGGGTCCCAAATTTGGAGGGCACTGAGTCCAGGGCGCAAATAGGTGTCATAATAAGGGTAGCCTTTGTTGGGGGACAGGTTCCTACGAATACCATCAAAGGTTGGCGCTCTAGGCGTTCTCCAAATGGCATATCCCTTTCACACTTGATCACACAATCCTCTCTGTCTGCATGTTCTTGGAGGAGTACCACTTTGAGGAAACAGGTGGTGGATATATCGGGGTGTTTGCTGACACTCTGCCAATGTAAGTCTGCCTGGTCCAAGAGGTCCTGGAGATTGTTGTCTATCTCTGCCTGGCGGTGAACGGGGGAACATTGTGGATAAGCACTGTTCTTCTCTGCCTTTTTGACTCTAAAGACAGCAAAGCCAAGTTGGGGATTCTACTATGTGCATCTAAGGAGGCAAGCTTTGAAGTAATCTAATGTCTGACATGGTTGGAAACAAGCTTAATGGAGGGTTGAACTGTTTGCTCATGGTACTGGGTAATGATCCCCTTCAAGTTGTCAACTGTGATAAACTCTGGTAGTGAGGGCTCACAGGAGGGTGGTGGGAGTGAGGTATGAGGGGTTGTCTCAAGCGTAAATGTAATAGTATCCACTCTTGTTGACTTTTCGTGCTTTTTGCGAGCCTTGTAAGCTTTCAGAATGTCACTTTGGAGGTTCCTTGCAGCTTCGGGGTCCATATCTCCCTAATCGATCTCCGAATCCTCTTCCTTAGTGAAGCAAGTCCAGTGTAACCGGAGGAAGGAGCAGACCTCTTAGAGTAATGTTGGCCTACCATAGCATCATAGACTTCTGTGGTACTAGTTACCTGGACTGTTCCATCAGACTTCCTAAGGTAAGTCTTTCCATCCGTAAGTTTTCCAATCGTAAGTCGGCGTTGGTCTGCATAGTAGTGGTACGGGAGTGCTGCTCAGGATTGGTCGGGGTTTCCGCCGTCGCCGCATCTGCCGCCGGCTCGGCTGCTTCTAATGCATCTTAAACAACACGCCGACATGAAACATAGACAGCTGACACCTTGTGGATTTCGCCACGCGCATGAAAGTGAAAGTCACGTTGAAAACAAGTTCTTTGGGGCTGCGCCCCAGCGGGATCGAGCTGCACTCGAGCCTAAGTCGAGAACTACGAGATGAAAACCCATCACCACGGTGACTTCTCGGAGCTGGTCTTCGGCGTCTACACGGGCGCTGCTTGAGCAGTTCGGCCAGATGGCTCAGCGCAAGGCGGAATGGTCATCTTCGTTGCCAGCCGGCATGAGGCTGAGTCAGGCGTCAGGCAAGCAACTTCCTTCAACAGTGTTGGACGGGGCCTCCAAGCGGTTGACGAGAGTTTGCCGCTGAGACGCAGGCGGCGGCAAATGCTGTAGATGAGCGGGACTGGGCTCGCACGGTACGGCATCTGATGGTGTGGCCATTCGAGGACCCCCACTGACTTAAAGGCAGAGCTTAGACCTCAGGCCCCCCACATAGGACAAGCCACTTGCAACACACCGTTCCATGTTGGCCCTGATGCTCTGGGCCCGCTGTCTCTCAGCCTGTTCCTTGAGACACACGGCCTGGTGGCTCTGAATACTTGGCATGGGAAGGCCAAACCTAGAAAATTTAATCAAGCCCCAAACAAAGCTACCAGGACCAGCCAAATTGATTATATCATCACTAGGCTTTCCACCGCAGATGCTCGCGCCAAGCGGGTCGACGTGAGCACTCCCCCCATCGGCACTTGGCACCTGCATATTGGGCACTACTGCCTTCGCATCGACATTCGTGTCATGAATCATCTCCTCCTTCCTGGCCACCAAGGTGACGGACAACAGTGCCACCGGCGCCATTGCCATCACGGACGCCAAGTCCTTGTATGATGCTGCAAACTCCATGAGCGCAGGCATCAAACTCACTGAAAGAAGGTGTGCCATTGAGCTCACAATGGCAACCGAGCGCCTGAAGGCCATGGGTGGGTCCGGGCCATGGCGTTGGAAAACTTCAAGCGTGGCATGGCGGCGCTCAAACTTGATGTCAACATGACGTTTGCCAAGAAGGTTTCCGCTGCTGAACGACAAGCAGAGGTGGATGAGCTCGACAACGCGGCCCGCATCCACAACGATGCCTTGGCAAGCGATGATCGACCCAGCCTTGACTTTCCTCGTTGTGTGACAAGGAAGTTCCTGGACATCGCTACTGCGCGAAACGTCACTACTACAGCAGCCTCGCGCCCCAAGACGCCTCCCGCAACAGAGCTCTTGTTGCAGCTGCTGTTCTGGCCTCCCAAGCAGCTGAAGCTGAGGCCTCTACACAGGTCACCGTGGCAGGGTACGACATTCACTACGAGAACTCGGCGGTCACGCTTCCCCCTGCGCAGCTCACCATCGACCTGAACCAGGCGCTGTGGCTGATGCTCATCTCCTTCATCTGCTTCCTGTTCATCATTTGGGTGGTTCCTCTTCTCCACCTGACCCTCCGTTGCTTGAGGAGGTGATGCTGGCAGACGCCGAGGTGACGACATGGTGAACCCTGAAGCCGAGCGATTGAGCGCATGGCTGATGACTATCGAGAGCAACTTGAAGACAAAGATCTACAAGTTCTTCAGCTTCGAGCCTCGGGAATTTGAAGAACGCTTGCAACGAGTGCCTCCTCCTGCATCACAAGCCCAGGCAAGACTTCCAATGCTTTGTCATCTGTCGGTACCATGTGAAGCGCGGCCATATCCGTGGAAACAACTCCTGACGCGCGCTGACTCCATGTGATGACTGTAGCCGCGGATGATGGCGAGCTGGCAGCTGTTTTCCAGAAGCCACATCTTTTAAATGTGTTTTGCCTTTCCTCCCGTGTCAATGCATAGCTATCACAGGAATTGTTGCATGCAGTACATGTGGAGAATCTTCGGCGCAGATGTAGAGAATCGTCAATATGTGCACTTGCAGGGAGCAATCTTTCACCATCAAAGGGCCCCTTGAGCCACCACAGGTTCGACACGCGTTAGATGGAAAACAGGAACGAGCGCTACATTCACTTCGCATCTTGGAGGCTGTGGACTTCGTGTGCTACTGCCAGGGTCGTTGCTACCCAAAATGACCACATCCTTCAAGATACTCTCATGAGGAGCTGCACAGTACCGTGTAGCGCTTGTGCGCGGCTCGGCTGGTGGTGACGGATGGCGGTATGGCAGTGTGAACTTCGCTGCTTGCCCGTTGGGATCTGGCAGAACGAGAGATGTCCGTGTCCCGTTTGCCACGCCCCTACTGTTCACCTGTCTAAAGAACATAAAAAATCGCGGGTAGTCAAGTTAGATTTCACCGTGCTTGGCCGAGGAAGGATGCTTTTGCAAGTGCATGGCTTAAGCTGCCTCAGACGGAGGAGTGAGTTTGGGTTTTTCTTTACGGTCGTCGTGGTGACCCGTGACTTCGCAGATCTTTGCAGCAAGCCTCGCTCTGACCAGGCCGTGTCCTATGGTTGGGCGGCTCTGCGCGGGGAAGCTGTCCAGATGTTTCACCGTTGGTTGCGTGCTTGCGTGCTTCATGCTCAGTGCCATCTTGTGCTTCCAAGCTTTCTAAACTTTGAGAAACCTTCGTTCGGGAGTGGCGGTCTGCTGTTGATGCTCGCACCGCGCACTTCGTTGCGCACTTAGTTGCGTTGTGATTTCCGTGGCATTGTGCACTTGGACGGATGCTTGTGGTGTCATTTGGCAACAGCTCGAATAGAATTCTACCGTATTTGGGCCGGGTGCAAGCTGCATCTGACACTAGCACCTACTAGGTGGTCGTTCAGGATTCTATCCCTGTTTGGTTGCATTTGTTTGGTTGTTGCAGGGTTTCGCGCGTAGTTTGCAGCCTTCCCTTCCCTGGCAGGCGGTCGCCCTTCTCTTTCGAAGGCCTGTTCATTTGGGGGATGTAAGCTAGTGGGAAAGTGGTTTCGGCGGTCTTGCATCAGAATTTACAGCGGTCGAAGCGGCCGACATATGAGAACAAGCAGCGAATCGGGAATGCAATGGTGACCTCAGTTTCAATCAGTATTTGCAGAGCACCATCCGCTGGCAAGGGGGAGGGTGGGTGACGCGCGCACCCTGCTTGAAATGCTCTCCAGCAGAATTTGTGGGATGTAACGCATTTCACGACCTTGTTCTCAAAGGTTGATCCATGCTGTCGGGATGGGTTGGCGACCTTTGCTGGCTGCTTCCCTGGTTTTAGCAGTACAGCGATATGAAGTTGACAGCTACCACAAAATTCTGCATGTTGGGTGCCGAATCCGAAGCGCGCCACACCTTTGCTCAAAGTGATGTTAAAGGTACTCTCATCGACAAGCCATGGGATCCAAAGCATTCTAGGTACCATACTCGAAGCCACATACAAGGTTGCACGAGTGTTGCACGTGTAGCTCTGCCATCCACAAGTCGGACTTGCTCTGCAACGATGGTGACAGCTAGCGGCGCGGAATTGTGCATTTGAAACTGTATGCCGTTACCTAGCTGCCTAGCTAACAGAGAAAGGGGCCAAAACCACTCGTGAAACGTCCTCGACATCAAAAGCCACAGCGAACATGCAAGCAAGCAGTCTCTGAAAAGAATACCGGAAAATTCCACCTTGATTGTGCTTCCAACGTTGCCCGAGTGAGGCGGGGGCCATGTAGTGGCTTGGGCACATTGAGCTCTGCAGCCAAATGCTCCAAGAGCTTTGAGGCTCGCAGCTTCGAGTCGTCCACATGCTTCAAACCTGCTACGTAAACAGGCTTACATTGAATGGAGCTGTTTATGGCAAGGACTCCACAAGCCTGAAACGATCTGTGGAGAAGCAATGACCTTGAAGTCGTCCCAACCTCTTCCAGGCCAAATGCAAGCTGTCAGAGGGGCTTTGAGAGGCCGAGGAAGGTACACTCTTGGTGGTTGATCCGCACCGGATAGCCTGCGCGGCTGACCTGCACCACCTGTGAAGCTCCAGAATCATCCCAGAGTCCCGGAGAGTCCCGAAATCCCCGTAAGACAGCGCTTTGCCGCCTGGAGCACACCTCCGTACCTGAGCTGCTCGGTCACAGCTTTTCGATCGTAGCGGTCCGGCCTCACATTCGATGCTCCATTCATGGACATGCGCCAAGTGTGCTCGCTCTGAGGCAGCCAGCTCGTTTTGTGGATTGGGTTTAATGCAACCTGCAGAGGCTAAAAAAGTGCCATGGCAATGCTGTTGCAGGTGTGCAATGCGAAGCAACGCGAAGCTCCCGACGCACGAAGTGGGGTTCAGTTAGGTCCACGATATCCATGAGCGAGGCCAGCTGATCCTGGAAAGAGAGGCCACCTAATTAACTAAGAGGCTATGCCCTTTTGATACCTTGAACTCAGAGGAGACGGTATATTTCTTCTTTTTCTTGCCAGCCACACCCTCGGGCTCCTCCTGCCAAGTGACAAAGCTCGATGAGCCGCATGCCATGCCTTGCTGCTTTTTTGCTCCTTGTTCAGAACCTCGCCATATTTCACATCCTGGTTCGTCAATAATGCTTCGCACATTCTGCATGTTGAAAGCTCAAGGACCGCTCCTTTCTAAAGAGCTTCACGATGAAGTCATTGGTGCTGGACCCCATACACTCTATTAGGTCCTCAGCTCACATGACGAAAGCATTGTATTCCCACATTGCTGCGCTCAAATAATGCTCAGCCCTGATCATTGCTCAGCTGATCCTTGTTCTTGTCCAGAAAACCATCCGAACCTTAGCACTCCACTGCTGCCAGCAACACACGCTGCGATCCTGAGGGCTGACAGTAGCTCACGGGACCGGCAAAATGTTTGATCACAAACCTGCAACAGAGCGAAACCCTGATGGTTGAATCTAAGCTGTCGCGTGAAGGCGGGGCCATGAGGGTTTCGTCTTGATCTCGTCAAAGCGCCTGTGGCCTTGAGCACTTTTGGCAAAGTTCCACCAAACACGACCATGCCCAACCACGACAAGCCTTTGTGTTGCTTGATGAGCTTGTTGGTGAATCCCTGGTCGGAGCCCTGTGGCACCACCTCTGCTTGCAGTATGGTATGCCTTGAATGCCTTGCCTCTCTTTCTGGCAACACTCTCAGGAGCTTCGTGTCGGACGCATTCCTCGTCGAGGATCGCAAAAACACCTGTGCCCTGACAAGTGGTTTTGTCTCAGGAAGAACTTCTAAATCCTGTTGTTGTTGGTAAGCCTTGGCTTGCAGCATGTCCACTGCATCCTCCAAAAAAACGTTTAAAGGAATCTGCCTCTGCCGTTTACCCATCTCTCCTGGTTGTCGGGAAAATCCAGCGGGTCCCACTCAATGCCCTCGCGCTCATAGAGCTGCTCCTGAAGAAGGATGGGAGGTGCTGTCTACAATTGAAGAAAATTGCAAAGATCTTTTGTGATGGGCGCAAGCATGCTGCGGAATCAACATCTAGTGCTGCGTGCCAAAATCATGTGCAAAACTGCACTCTGCTCACGTTTCAGTTGGCTGTTATCAGCGTGCAGAACAATCGGAGGGGTGGCGCATAACCCTAAAGCGAACTCCACGATGGTGACGTTATCATTGTTAACATGCCGTGTTTTGCCCACGGCCACTGTCGCAAAAGCCTCTTTGCCGACGGGGGATTCCATGCAATGTTCATGCGCTGCATGTCGCAACACCTTAATTTGATCTTGCAAACTGTCTCTTTGAGCAAAGGGTAAGCTGACTTCTTGCATGAGATGAACGCTGTGAGCTGGATATTGTTCGACGGGTCAGCGAATCGCTGATGAAGCGTCGCCATGTTGTCAGCAACACCGGCGGCCGTAAGATTGGACTCATCAAGCATAAACATCCATGTCATCCCCAGCGGAGTCTTGATCCAATAGCGTCATAGAGGACTGAGGAAAGCAAAGATTGCACAACTGATTTTACAAATATTCGAAGATACGAAGAACCAAACCCCTCAGCAGAGATGATCATGACCACAAATGTTAAGAACCATCGCCGATCACCATCATCCTCTGGAGATGTAAGTGCGGATGAGGTGGTAGCGGTAGAAGAGGCTGCGGTCAAGGTCGTCATCATCGAAAGAACAATTAAATAGCTCCGAAAGCATACACAGAAGCCGCGGGCCGCGGTGGCTGCAGAATACCTCAAGATGGGATTTGTCCGCGCCAGTTTCTTGCATCGGACCCTGAAGTGGCAAGGATCTCTGTCTCGCACGTTGACCGCCCTCTTTCTGAAACGTCGCACATCCAGCGGAAAGAAGCATCCTCATTTGAGGAGCAACCACGGACTTGGTCAGGACAGCGGCAACCATGCTCGCCGTGGGAATCAGTATCAGCCAACAAGGGCGGTTCGACATTCTGGCCTTTTTGAGCAACAAAAAATGAAGCTGGCGGCCTTTGTTTTGAGAAACCGTCTTGTCTCCACCCGCGAGCTCAAAGAAAGCATGGCAATCAGTGTAATGATCAGCGGGAAGTTTTTTGACACCCCCCTCTTCTCGACATGAGACAAGTGAACGTAAAATGGTTGGTGAGGCGTATACAACATCTCAGCCAAATACTGCAACAAGCAGCGTTCCAATCGCGGGCCTGGCCATTTACAAGCTTGACCTGATGATGCCGGCAGCAGAGGAGTCGTTTGCACACGCCAATCAAAAACGGGGCCGCAGCTTCCTGGAGTAGAGGCCCCGGGTCCAAGTTCAGCTTGAACCTTCTTGACAAACCACGTCAAGATGGGTCGCCGTCAACCATTACAATCGCCCAAGAACAGGTCTGAAGGTTGTGGCATTGCGAAGCTCAGACGCATCATCATCATCATCATCATCATCATTATCATCATCATCATCATCATCCTCAAGAGTAGCCGGGATGATTGCTGGTTTCAGCGGCTTGGCGCAGAAGTCATCCTGAGGCACAGAGAAAGCATCATCTCTAGGTTGCTCACCTTGCCAAACTTCTTGACCAGGATCTCGCACAGCCACGCCGACTTGGGTCCAGCCCGGCAGTCCTTCCTTGAAGAGACTTGAAAGACCGTTGGCTCGGAGAAGCACGCGGACTTATTCAACCCCTGGCACACCTTGG